TGTGAATTCCTCCCTCAGAGACACACTGCCAGTAAACAACATCTGCAACAAGGTTTCTTATTCTCTACAGCTTTTCCCCAGAGGTCCAGTCTGGGGTAACTCGGCAAGGCAGCTGCTGTAGCTCAGCCCTTCAGCACAATTGCCATCCCAGTTATCCATAAACATTCCTCCTCAAAGGAGCACTAGGTCTGCTTCCCAAACTGCTGTTTTGAAATCCTGTTCCTGATATGGCAGAGAACCAATTGTTATGGGAGTTCAGGCACTTAGTCCCTGCTAATACACTCTGAATGCAGCCCACTGCCCTTGAAAAGAAAATCCATGCCTTGGGGATGCTGCTGTGGAGGCCTGGCTTTGCAGATCCCTATCAGCTCCCTATGATCACCAGCTGCCCATTGGGAACTTGCTGACTGAAGCCTTTCAGGGTGAGATTCCAAGAACTTTGCTGGATGAGGAGAGGGATCATAGCAAATTCGGTTTTGTTCSATCAAGTTTCAAGCCAGCAGGCAATACTGTGGGACAATTTTCAAAGAGAAGGCAAATTCTACGTACTTGAGGCTGAAAAGAGAAATATTTACTGGTAATATTGTTCATTGCAGTAATTTAACTGTATTTTAATGTGAGACTGGGGAAGAATGGCTGAWTTGACCACATAGAATTAAAATGAGGAAATGGAGCCTGTATGTTGATAGAGGGGCAGCATTTTTATCTTTGGGTATAGCTGTTTTTTAAGTGTTAGGCAATTCAGGAATACACAAGAACAATAGTCATAATCCCACAGAAATGCAGCTCCACAAAGCAGAGCTGGCCCTGGGAATGCCCCCTGGGCTATGAGATAACCCTGGGCAGAGGATTTCAGGTTCACAATAAATACTGCACCAGCTGTACGACCATGGGGTCAGTTTCCTTACCTGATAGTGTCATTCCCATAGCAACCCACGTCCCCTATGCCCAGATCATCAGCCAGCAACAGGACAAAGTTTGGCTGTGTGATGGGGGAAAGCTGTGTGAGTGCTGCCTGCAGAAGCAGACCAAGAATCAGGGGTGTAAGCAGGGGTGACCTGAAACACAGAAGAAGGAAAGAAGCCAAAGAATTGGTCACTCACCACTCCCCAGCACATGGCCACAGACCTTCCCAGGTGAGCTTGGCTGCAGCCCAGACCTCTCTGCCCAGACACCCAGGGTGTGCTAAGTGTTTGTCATTTACCCGAGCAGAAGWAATGAAGAGGAAAATTTCAGGACCATAACTTTAAAATCGCTTTTCCTGATTGTTTCCAAGTTTCCTGTGAGCAGTCTCACATGGGAGTTTACATGTGGTAGTTGACATACAAGCGATTTTCCTTCAGTGGCTTGGGATGTTCTTTAAAAGTTTGTCCGGGAAACTGAAAATGGGATCAACTTCCTCTGACATCTTTTTTTGCCCAGACTGGACCATCGGGTTGTGAAAAAGTAAGTAACAAGTAAAATAAACAACAATCACATTGTGAGCATACTTTATGCTATGAGAATAAGAGTAAAAAATGCTACTCTTTTATAACATAGTATTACATCATTATTAAGCTTCATTCACTCTAGATCTAAGTATGATRTAACAGTAACTCATGATTTTTTTTTCTTACCAATGAGATGTTAGTTTCCAAATCATTTCTGCATTTGGAGYATTCAAATCCTGTAAAACCAAGAGTACCTTGTCATAGTTACATCTTCCTAGTAGGCACTGCAATAAAAATAGATTAAAACCTTAATCAAAGCCTGTTAGCATTCTATTTTATTTACTCCAGTGTGCCACAGATCAGACCCTAAATGAAGAAGAATAAAGGCAGTAATGTTATTTTTATGGTTAGCGCTTCACTTATCAGAGGAACTTTTCTTTTTGTGTGGAGAAATTTATTTCAAAATACCAAAATAATTCTCTTTTCTTACATAACTCATCTTTGCAAAAAATACTTACTGTTCAAAAAGAAAAAAGCTTTTTAAAATCCAGTCTTCAATATAATTTATTTTTCTGTGATCATAGAGACAGTAGCAGCCTTGTGCTTTCTTACACAATGTGCTGAGTTTCCTTTCAGGCTTGTAAGAGGTATTTTTAGTTGTGGAAATTCTAGTCATCTTCTTCCAACAATTCTATTTTCTTAGAAGAATTTGTGACCTTTTGTTATTTGAGAATGAAGAGGTTTCTCTGGGGCTTTTCCTTTTGCAGTGGGACAGTGAGACAAACTGCTTAAAGACTTTGAAGTAAGGGACAAATGAGTTTGGTTCAAATGCTTTAAAATAGACTTCTTTTAAATCTATCCCATGCCTGGCTGAACTGTCTCAAGCATCTCAATTTTATAAATTATGTTTGTTTCATATTTATTTTTGTTTTCCAGAAACGATGTGTTAAACAGTTTAGTTACTATCCACAGTGCTTACATTTTATCCATGAAGATTACGAGCTTTGATGGGAAAATTCAAATTTCTATGCTTAGAAAACAGCRATCCAAACATTTGCTTACAAGCACCAGAGCTGATGCAGTGTTGCTATCTGCAGACACTCAATTTCCTGCATTGGAGTTTGTGCCTTTGTTGCATCCTAAGAAGTTACAGGAAAAGGACTGGAAAACACCACAGCCATCTTCTATATAAACATACTGTGTGCCTCCAAAACAGCTKAACTAAAAGGGAGTTGGAATTAATCAGATTTAATTGTGCAGTTGGTTGTCACTAATTGCTTGTGTTTCGCAGTAGAGAGACACTGATTTTAAGCACAGCCTGGAGCTGGGGGCTGAGTTTCCCCAGAAACTGCCAGTAAAATAGCAGGCAATATACTGAAAACAGTTACTGATATTATACTGACTGCTATTATCCCTTTCAGTGAAAGGTGATGGGAGTCCAGGCAGACAAACTGCAAACAGTCCCCTTTGTAGTCTGAGCGGGATTCGGCTTAAAGCAAATCTCTTTCCTCCCTCTCCCATTGTTGACCCTCCCCCAAAATAATTTCATTTTTATCCCTTTTCATTTTAATAATCCCGGGGGTATAGCTTGTATATCTTTCATATTTTATCAACTGTCCTCCTGTATTGATTCAAATTTTATAATCAGTATTTACCTTTCCAAAAAAATACTTACAAGATGCCAAAATCCCAGTTCAAACCAGTTTGCATAAGAGAAAATATTCATATTTTTAGATGCACTTATATACATTCTTCTTGAGAACAGCATTCATTTGTGGCAGTAACACTCAGTGAAAAGTCACACAGTTCATACCCCTCAATTCAGTACTCCTCAATCTGTGAATATGTCTTTTATAAATTCCTATTTTGAAGACTTGATACAGATAAAAGAAAACCCAGACTTGTAAACAAATTGCCTGCAGCTCTTACTTTGTACATAGCCTTGTATGAGAATAATGTTGTAAAGGAAAAAGCATTTTAAAAACTTCCTTGAGATATTTTTATCTACAGAAGAAAAAAAAAATCCAAAGAGCCATTTAACTTTCCCTTCATATTTCCCAGCATAGTAAAGGGAGGAATACAGTACCTGGTCCAATTTTGTTCAAAAAGCAGGCAGCTGATAGACTGGCGACTTAAAACCATTCCAAATTTTTTTCAGCACAAGGACTGCTGCTACAGCACAAGGATTTCTGAAGGCAGTCCTGAAATGTGCCCTAGCTGCGCGTCCCACAGTTCACCACAGGAAAAGCGTGCTGTGCCAGAGCTTTCCAGCAGCTGGATGTTCTGGCTCATGGTGGAGTCTCTCAAGCTGCACGTCCCCTGTCCCTCTGCTGTTTGCTCAACTCCGACACTCACACAATATCGCGGGTCAGACAGGGGAACACCACAGACGTGGCTAAAATGCTTTCTGCCTCACCACCGGCCTCCCAAGGGACAGGAACAATCTCCTTCCAGTCTGAGACACTCCCGTGAAATGCACTGCAAATTACAGCTCCCAATAAACCTCACTTCCACCCGGGAAAAGGGAAAATCGCTGCACTTACCGAGCGGCAATTCCTGGGTGTAGAAGCAGCAATTGAGCTAATTTCTTCACTTCACGGCAATCCTGAGTGCCTGCAGCAGTGAGGTGGTTATCTCTGCACATGCAGGGAGAAATAGTTCTAGGGTGGGGAGGAAATGCCGGTGAGAGGCTTGGATTTGCTTTTTCAGAAAATGAGTCATTCAGCTTCACTTCTGAGTGCTGCCTGTTTTCTAGTCATCGCTCAAAAGGAAAAATTAAGGTTACACGCTGGCTAATGCTTGCTTTCTTGATTTTTCTTATTTGAGTCCTGTTGTGCTGAGTGTTTTGGAACAGCATGAGGCATTACCCAACAGCAATCTTGCTTTACTGAGAGACAATTTCCTGCATTTTTATATCTCAAAAGAGAAGGGAGATGTTGTTATGAGTTGCTGGTATCAATTGCAGTGCTCAGGTTGGATTGCTAGTGGAGTTACTCCAAGGCAAGTTACAGCACCGTAGGTGATCCCTTCCCTGCTCACCACATTGGCATGATGCAGTGATTACAGCCAATATGCATGTGAGAAGTGATGTGTCTGGTTTTCCTTTTCTCAGTGCCTGCTTTCTGATCTCCATCTGTGTCACAGAATCCCAATCTATACCTCTCTGGTTCCCATTCCCCTCACTGAGCCCTTAGCACTGCAAGGATTCAGTAAGGTCCATAGGATTTCTTGTTGTCTGATGCCCTCTGCTGCTGCATATTTTGTGAAAAGAAACACCTGAGCTGCTTTGGGGTTTTTTCTGTCCAGGTTGCAATCAATCCTGCTGACAGAGAGAGCCTCTTCTGCAGCTGGGGAAGTCTCTACAGCTTTCATATTCTTGTGTTATTTCCAAGGCTTCTATAGAGTTTGTAACAGAGAACCACAAACTATAGCTGCTATGTTATTTACTAAATTTAGAATACATCAGAAAATGGAATGCATGTCTGCAGTTACACTTTGCTGACTTTTGCACAGCCCTCTTTAGTGACAGAAAGAGCCAGACCAGTTTGCTGCTCTGAGTAGCACTTKTTGAAGTCTGGCTGCTGGGAATTGCCACCTGGGCACACCTACGGTATTAAAGAAGGGAGGGTTGTGCTTGTGGTCTAAAGACTTTCAGAGTGATAACTTGTGCCCATTTTGGTGTTGGATCTTTGAAAGAGTGAAAGGTGAATGCCCTCTTGCTGCCATCAGCTTAAAGATGACATTTTAAAAAGGTCTGGCAAAGCTAATTCTGTTCCCCACCACTGCACTGACTTTGCCCTAGCTAGTTTTCTGTGGGGAAACATTTTAAAAGTCTGTATATTTTTAGAATGTAGAATGAATGTTGAATTTTGCAGAAACTTTGCATATTCCTGTCTTTTTACCCTCGTTTTCTTTCCTTAGTTCTTGAGGCAGTAACACACTCTGACCGCATTAAAGTGCTTCAACATCTGAGAGCTGAAGGCCCAAGTTGGCGGGGTTTGATGTAGGATATGATGATTACGAGGCTCCCTCTAGCGATTACTGCCTTATATTTGTTTCAGACTACAATGGTTCCACTCTCCACCTTTCTAAAAGCCATTGCACAAGGATGTTATGGTGTTATTTCTCGGAACTGTGATTTAAACCAGGCCTTCAAGGCTCTGAAYGCCCGGGAGCAGTTGCAGAGCCTCACCTGGACCTGCAATACAGGTGTGAAACACTGGGAAGAATCCTGGCTCCTGTATTCCAGGACGGCTCTGCCACAGGAGCCAAACTGCAGGAGGTGGGGCTGCTTTAAAAGTGCACTCCAGGTCTGGGGTAAAGCAGTGATTCCGATGCTCCMATTCCTGTCTAAGGCTTGACTTATCTAATGGCTGGTAAGTAATGCAACTAATATGCTTAGAAGGGGTAATGCCATTAATTGTCCACATGGTTTCCAATAGGACACATGATCCAGTGCTGTTTCCTCCTGCACCATGGAATGGGTTCGTATCACCTGGCTTTCACTACCAAAAAAATTAATGTTCACATCTAAGCCATGCAGACTCTGTGATCAATGGTGAAAGACAGTCACATTGAGGGCAATCCAGCTGTCCTCTAATGCTATTCTAGGATGAGATGAAACACCCTTTGAAGGTTTCAGTCTGTCTTTAATGCCTGTACAGAGAGAAATTTGTATGGCTCTGTATTGAGGGTGGATTGAAATTGGTTAAAGTGATATCAAACCATACTCTTTGTCATTCTACTAAGAGCCCAAATTAATACTACCATGCAAAAAAAATTAACAAAAGGTATTTTTATTGCAGCATTTTCAATAATGTTCTAAAAGTTGAGTTAATATTTTTTAAGGAAAACAATCTGATATGAATTAAATAATCCTACTATTAGAACAAGGCAGACGCCTTTAGTTTAATTTCTAAAACCTCTATACTTGTTATTCTCTTGGGACTGAAGCTATTAAAACTGAAGTATTTAGTTGGAGTTTCAACTGGAATGGAAAAAAGCATAACCTAAAATGTCAGAAGAGTAGAAAGTTAGCATTTGGTAGAAGATATATCCTGTATTGCATTTTTGGTGTGTATTTCTTGAGACATCCAACTGCAAGGCCTA